CAGACCTAGCCCCGAGTGACTATTTTCTGTTCCCTAATCTCAAAAAATGGCTTGGCGGTAAGAGATTTGCGGACAATGAAGAAGTAATCGAAGCTGTAAATGGTTATTTTGAGGAGCTTGACGAATCAGTCTATAGAGATGGCATTAATAGACTGGAACACCGCTATGAGAAATGTATCAGCCTTGGAGGAGATTATGTTGAGAAATAAAAAAAAAAAAATTTTTAAAAACCTTGTTTTTCTTGGTCAGGCCGGAAACTTATCAATCCACCCTCGTATATTTCGGACAATGGAACTTTTCTTTCTATTAGCCTTCGATAGAGCTAGAGTTAAATAATTCAGGCAAATCATGACTATTGTACCAGGATGAAGCTCTATCTGTAAGTGTTTTATCGCGAAACTGGGTCCAAAAGAAATTAATTGTTGAAAATAAAACAATGAAGGTGTTAAACGAGCTTTAACTTTTCTATTTATAAAATACGGAAAAACAAGACATCCATTCTACTACATGATACTCTTACTACTGACTAAAAAACTAAAAATACCAAATGCAACTTATTCATTTTTCCACCACTATAGGTATATTCGACTAAACAAAAAATACAATGGTCTTGGGCAAGAAATCAGCAACCCTCAGCGCGACACTTTGCCTTTGATCTCGACACCGCTCCTTTCAAATGAAAACAAGATAAAACATGCGAAAAGATACCTTTTATTTACGGTACGTCGCGGTGCTGTTTTAGATGATTTTGTATGCGATGCTGTTTTGGTGCTATTATAGTATGTTTTTTGGCGAAGCGCTGTTTAAGGGCTCTTTCGGTTCTTTTTTAATGTGGTGCTAGTTTGGAGCTGTTTTAGAGTTTGAAATGGTAGTATTTTGGCTATAATTTTAGAATTTAAATTTTCGTCTTATTTGTAGGACCTATTTCGGTGGTAGTTTGGGTCATTTCAGATATTTGGAGGCGATTCGGTGGTGTTATAGTTCTTTCTATTTTTACTCGGGATGTAACTCAGTAATTGCACCCCCTGAAATTGACGATTGAGTGTGAAAATTAAACATCCAAGCTGAATACAAATATCTTTTTGAATTCGATTGGATCTACGCTATTTATAAAAGTAAATATCGTCAGTAGGTGTTTGGGAATCTCAATTTTGTGAACTTTACATTATATCATCACAGTCAAGTTCCTTTTTCCTATTGCTCTTATCGTAAGTATGTGAATAAATAAATATCATAATGTTTATTTAAGTAATATTATGGTAGCATTATATGGCAAGAATAGATGACACTTCTCAGTGCTGTAACAGTTGCAAGTGTTTGCGTGGGAATCGGTTACGTTTAAACACAAGTGTTAAATAGTTCGTTTCCTTATTTTCCATGTACTTCAAACAGACACATTAGACAGCATTTTTCGTTTGTTTATAGTTATCCCACAATACGCTCTTCCTATTACCCATTAAGTCATGTTGGTTCTGAGATATGTATACCGTAAAACTAGTGAAAGATTATGTTTACGTCATCGATATAAACTGTACGAGCCTATTCGAACAAGCGCATTGAACTCACTAGTAATACAGAAAATACGATAAATCGTATATAAGCTGCGTCCGGGAATTGTGGGTTATGACTAGGGTTGCCACCTTTTCAGGCTTTACATAAAGTATTTCTCAACTAAATGGTTCAAAAACAAAAGTAGTCAGCATAAAAATAAAGTATTTTATTTTTTGTTTTTAAACATATTTTTTGTTACACCTAGCAGCCAGTAACAAATTGCTGTCGCTCTTAAATACATTAATAGCCTCTAAACATGGCAAACAAAGATTTAAGTAAACTAAAAGTTCATTTTTAATTAGTTTTAATGAAGCTTTATTCCTGTCGTCCCGCCACTTTGCGTTCATAACAGAGAATACTCTTTCTGTAAATGCTGAAGTGGCCGGAACGGACAGCAAAAGTGACACTACTTTGAACAGATTTGGGAAATCAGGTTGTTCCGTAAATATGGCTTGCCATTTTTCTGTGCAATATTATTGATGTAAAAATACTCTGAATTTCGAATAATCGCTTAGAAAATTGCGATGTTTATTTAAGGCCTTAAATAAAGTATTTTTGCGTACTTTATGTGTCTTGTAAAGTGTAACGTATGCACAGTCGAAATAGAGTACAATACTTTATAATAAAGTATGGGTGGCAACCCTAGTTATGACTCCTGAATCACATTTACTGTAAAAAAAAGGCGGAAATCGTTTGAAAATTGATAAATGCTGGAAACTATATATACGTGTCTGTATCTCGATACCTTTGCCTGTAACGACTCCCGGATATAACGACGAAATTACAGCGGTCCCTTCGTAGTCGTTATA